TACAACCTAAGTGTTGGAGATGTGGAAATTTAGATGCAACTTATTTTCATATTTGGTGGACATGTAGGGAAGTTAAAGCATTTTGGATTAAGATATGGTGGAATATTCAAAATATTTTTAAGAAAAAGATAAAGTTTAAGCCGCAGATATTTTTGTTGGGTATTATGGAAGACTTGGATGCAAAAGAAATGGAATTGATTTGAACTTTATAACTGCTGCAAGACTACTTGTAGCTCAATATTGGAAAACGGAACATTTGCCCACTATAGAAGAATGGTCACTTAAAGTCTCGAACTTAGCAGAAATGGCCAAGATCTCCACTTATGTGAAGGACTATTCACAAGAAAGATATATTTTGGTTTGGAGAAGATGGATAGATTATATTGAGCGTAAATATGGGACCAAAAAATATCATTTGGTTTTTGAGTGAATTTTAGAGTATTATTGTTGTATAAAGGTTAGAATAGTTTATTTAGTATTATTTTTAATTATTAAAGTGATGTTATTATTATTGTTTTTAATAACTGTATATTTGTTTAAAAGAGAGTTAAAGGAGGTTATAGATATGTTATTTTAATAGTTGATTAATGTTAGTTAGAGTATGATTATTTTATTGTTAACCCTGTGATTGGCTCTGGGAAGTGAGGGGGGAGGGAGGGGGAGTGGAAGGATGGGTTGGGGAAGGGGGGATTTATATTGTAAAATTTTATAAAATTTTCAATTAAAAAAAACTGCAATGATTCACTTAACAATTGTGACAAGAAGGATCATAAAATGGGGCAAAATTCACTTAACAACTGTTTCACTAAGCAACAGAAAGTTTGGGCTCAATTGCGGTTGTAAGTCAAGGACTACCTGTATTCCATCTTTTCTCTACCAGTTATTTAGTTTCCATGCTGAAAGGGCAGAGAATGCAGGTTTTTCTTCACCAATCAAGAATAGGAATGTAATATTTCACTGACACTCATCCAGAAAATATTGGAGGAGGAGGATGAGAGTCATCTAAGTCGGAGGTGGTAAAAATCAGAAGGAGTTTGGCAGCATCTTTTCTGACTACAGTAACACATTTTATTAAAGGGCGTAAACTTTAATGTGTTAGTCGGGAAAGATGCTACCGCTCTCCTTCTGATTTCTCATGCAGTAAATGTGTACTAGAGCAGGGGTTTCCAACCTTGGCAACTTTACGACTTGTGGACTTCAACTCCCAGAATTCCTCAGTCAGCATAGTCCAGAGTCCAGCACAGTCCACAGTCCAATGTCCACAAGTCATAAAATTGCGAAGGTTGGAGACCCCTATACTAGAATACAGAAAATTATGCTGGTCACTGTTTATGATTTCATCTCCTTTGGGGTCAGTATTTTAGCAATTTTTGGTCAGGCAAGGAAGCAAGTAAATGTCAATCTTGATTCCTGCTCAAGATTGGAACTGTAACCTGCAGGATGCAGGAGAGCTAATTCTCCCCAGCTCTTTTATTTTCAAAACAAAATCATTACAGAGGGTGAAAGCTGACAGGAAATGTTGTTATCGGAGCAGCTGCAGACATTCCTGCACTCCATAAACATTTTTGGGATGAGCAATAGTCTCATAATGCATCCGATAGCTATTGGGCCTTGATTCAGACAACACACTGGATCAATTCTAAAATACACTAACATACTGCAAATCACGGTTCAGTTTGTGACTGAGAAGTGGCTTTACTGGAAGTCTTGGACTTATGGCCCCAAATGGGATTCTACTGCTAAGCAAGGCAATTAAATTCCATTATTGTTTAATGTCGTTCCTGATTTTACATCCTTTTTTTCCCACGGTTAAGTGAATCACCGCAGTTGTTCAGTGAATCATGCAGTTGCTAAGTGAAACCAGCTCCCCGCCCCCTTGACTTTGCTTATTGGAAGCTGGTTGGGAAGGTCACAAATGGCGATCACAAATAGCGGGACAGTGCAGGTATTGTAAATGTATGTTGGCTGCCAAGCACCCATATTTGATCTTGTGATCATCGAGATGCTGCAACGGTCGTTAAGTGATAGGAATGGCCGTGAGTCATTTTTTTCAGTGCCATTGTAACTTCGAATGGTCATTAAACAAATAGTTGTAAATCAAGGACTACCTATATTACAATCTGACCCATGTTCAAGATTGAGACAAGTTGCCATGGCTTCATATTCATAATGGGGAGGATAGATCAATTTCTCCATCCTTTTGCGTTTCCATATTCATTATAAGGAAAAGGAAGCTTCTACCTGTTATTAGCAAAGGAAGTCAGACAACCCAACCCAACACAGTTACCCCCATTTCTCTGCCATCCTACTTGGCAAGGGGCTATTTTTATTTAGAAAAATGGCAAAATGCTATGTTTTTTTTTTAAAAAACCAAGCATTTAAATATTTGGGGGATACTCAGTAATACTAAACACCCTTACTAACAGTTGTTGTCCTAACAGCCACCTCCCTTGCTATCTTCTACATCAAGGCTTTTCAACCAGTGGTACGGGTACCACCTGTGGTACATTGGCACCTTGCAGGTGGTACGCGACCATCCTAGAAAAATGGTAGCGGGGGAGGGGAATGAGCTGAACTGGTGGCAGCACTGCACAAGCCTGAGCGAGAGATGGCTGGAGCTGCAGGGCTGTCAGGGCTCAGCGGAAGCGCCAGGATCAGCACTTCTTCAGGACTGTCAGGGCTCAGTGGAAGTGCCAGGATCAGCGCCGGGCTCCAGCTGGAGCCCGGCGCTGATCCTGGCGCTTCTGCTGAGCCCAGAAGAAGCGCTGATCAGCTGGAATGTTGCAGCATCTCCAGGGTCTTGTGATTTACATTCAGATGCTTGGCAACTGATTCATATTTATGACGGTCACAGTGTCCCAGGGTCATGTGAAGTGACCAAAACTTGCTGCAACCACCCAGCAGATGGGGGGGGGAATAAAAACCAAACACCCCCCCACCCCACCCCCGCTGCCAATCCTCAACAGAAATGCTCACAACAATGAAAACCTCGGACAGGAGGAAGAGCGCGGCTGGGTGGGCAGGCAGGTGTCTTGCTCGGCTGTGGCTTGGGGGGCACTTTGTTCAGTGCCATTGTAACTTCGAACAGTCACTAAGTGAACTGTTGTAAGTCGAGGACTACCTGTACTTTATCACTTTTTTCCTTTTTTTTTTGGTCATCAAGTTTTTGACACCTTGCTAGGCGACTGGTGGTACTCGGATATTGCCATATCCTAAATGTGGTACAATGGGTGAAAAGGGTGAAAAGCCCTGTTCTACATAGACTGGAACAGTTTTTATAAATTGACTGCAAAAAGAAAGTTTGCAACTACCTGTAGCTGCTCCAAAACAGAGTAGTAATGGTATACAAGGGACTAGTCCACTTGAGACACAAATTGCAAGAATGAGATGCGTTCTTCGCGACTAGAAGAGTGGAACTCCTGAGAAAGGGGAAAAAAAGGCAACCCAGGTTCATCCCTAAAATGGCCAATAAGAAGCAGTCGGTTTAATGAGATGTTCCTTGGGTAGTACCGTACCAAAATACAGGCAGTCCTCAAATTATGACAATTGAGCCCAAAATATTGTTAACTGAGACATGTGTTAAGCAGGTTTTGCCCCATTTTATGAGCTTTCTTGCCACAGTTGTTAAGTGAATCACTGCGGTTGATAAGCTAGTAACACAGTTGTTAAGTGAATCGGGCTTCCCTATTGATTTTGCCTGTCAGAAGGTCGCAAAAGCTGATCACATGACCTTGGCAGCATCTTTTCTGACTACAGTAACACATTTTATTAAAGGGCGTAAAGTCATAAGTGTGCTTCTGCCAAGCATCTGAATTTTGATCACATGATCGTGGGGCTGCTAAAAAGATTGTAAGTGTGAAAAAATGACATAAGTCACTTTTTCAGTGCCATTAACTTTGAACGGTCACTAAATGAATTGTTGTAAGTTGAGGACTACCCATAAATATAACTGTTTAGTCAGGTCTGGTGCACTGCCATCTCTGTAGTTGTGAATTAGTGGCCTATCCTCGTGCTGCAGAACCATTATCCTTATAGTTTTCCATTTATTTCCAGCAACTTCTCTTTAATACAGCTTAAAATTGGTTCGACATAAATGTTTTTGAACACGACCTGCAATAATATCCACAATAGGAATTTTGCAGTCATAGCTACTGGGAAATTCCTCTTTCCACAATTCAAAACTGGTCTACAATGGTAAGTAGCCTAAATTCTTCAATAGGCATGTCTGAAATTTCATTGAGGTATGGGCCTCTTCTTAGAGTTCCATCTCGACAGATGAATTTTTGGATAACAGGTCAGTTAGCCAACATTTCTAGTAATCAACGTATCTTGGAATATTTGTGCAGAATGCCAGATTGTGAATTTCTATTTATTAGAGAAGTTACCACTGTTCAATAACAGAATACATGATTTGCATGTAGAAAGTTCCATTTTAAAAATCCAATTAAAAGGAGTACAAAGTAGTAAATATTTTGATATTCTTGAAATTATAACAGTTTAGGACATATATGCAGATTTGACATAAGACAACTTTCTAAAGTCAGATGTTTTAACAGATTCAATAGCAACATGCAGCTCAAACATCTTTTTAACAAAGCAGGTAGTCCTCAACTTACAACAGTTCGTTTAATGACTGTTTGAAGTTACAACGGCACTGAAAAAAATGACAGAAGCGTTTTTCACACTTACCATTGCAGCATCCCCAGGGTCACGTGATCAAGATTCAGATGTTTGGTAACTGACTCCTATTTATGATGGTTGCAATGTGTCCTGGGGTCATGTGATCACCTTTTGCAACCTTCCGACAAGCGAAATCAATGGGAAGTCAGATTCATTTAACAATCATTTAGCAGGATGAGAAGCAACGGGTGGAAACTGATCAAGGAGAGAAGCAACTTAGAACTAAGGAGAAACTTCCTGACAGTTAGAACAATTAACCAATGGAACAACCTGCCTCCAGAAGCGGTGAATGCTCCAACACTGGAAGTTTTTAAGAAGAGACTGGACAGCCATTTGTCTGAAATGGTGTAGGGTTCCTGCCTGAGCAGGGCGTTGGACTCAATGACCTCCAAGGTCCCTTCCAACTTTATTATTATTATTATTATTATTATTATTATTATTATTATTATTATTATTATTATTACCATGTTACTGATAGAAGTAAAAGAAAGGTCTTCAGAATTTAATATTGAAAGAGAAATTTAAAATTAAATTTGCTGCAGTGGAAATTTACTGAGTGGAGAAAAAAAACTAATAATATATGGGAACCAGGAAAGGAAAGCATAAAGAAAGGAAGATAAACACATGGGCAAAAATAGCTGGGTTTTAGAGTGGGAAAAGAAAGAAGGCAGACCATAAAAAAATAACTGTAAGAGGAAATGGCTAGCCAGGAAAGGCACACTGAATTGAAAAACAGGAAAATAACTTATTGTTCTAAAAAGGGGACATAAATATCTACAGAGTTTAAAATAACCATTTAAATGTCTAATTTTTCTTATTATTATTGTATATGTGAATATGATTTAATATGTTATCAGGAAATGTATATAAGCGGACGGAAAGAGTGTAACCTCATAGTACCTCAGCCAATGGGGAAAGAGGAGGGATGTAGCGGCCGGGGACAGGACTGCATAAAAGAAGGGAATATTTTGGGTTAAAACTTTGGAGAGAACCAAGCTTTGATAGCTTCTCTCCCCGCTTATTGCAATAAACGAAACAAAAGGCCTTCACTACGTCTTGGCTGGTTATTGGTCAGGCGAGCTTGCCTCTGGTCACGAAGGAAAGTGGCCAGGAGCACATAACATTACTAACTTAACAACTGCAATAGTTCACTTAACAAGTGTGGCAAGAAAAGTTGTAAAATGGGGCAAAATTCACTTAACAAATATCTCAATTAGCAACAGAAGTTTTGGGCCCAACTGTGGTTATAAGTCAAGGACTACCTGTAATGAAATTTACATCTTCAATTATATGCTTTGTGTCTCCACCAATGAGAGAAAAAATGGAATATTTCATAAACAGACTTCAGATTTCCAATTCATACTTTTATGTTTCTCCACTTTTTTATCCATGACTATAGTAAAAGTGGCCAATTTGGCAGTAAAGAACTTCTGGACAAGAAAAAAAAATCCTTATTTCTATAAGTTTCATACATCATTATTAAGGTAGGTAAATATAGCAGGATCATTATCCTTAATTTGTCCTATATATATATAATAAGCATTATAACTGAGCACTAATCCAGGTCTACAGTGCAAAGGGCTTACACTCTGTGTAATCGCCCTCTGCCTAGTAGTAAAGATATTTCAGAAGAATTCACTTCATGTTCTCCAGATCACTGTTGCCCAATGTACTCCAGACCTTAGAGGTCAACTTTTTATAATCTGTGCTCAGTATCTGGACTGCTTCTGTCTAGTAAAGGCCATTCTACCTTTCTAGAGTGAGTCTCTCTATTACAAGCCTTCCCATGTTAAATGAGCAAAATATACAGTATTTTCCGATTTAATGATAAAAGATCCTAAACATCAAATGATCAAAGCAAACACAAAGGGCTTCCAGGGCAACATTATGATGTTGCTGTTCTTCAACCATCAAGGCATTTAGATAACTACCAATTGTAACCAGAATTCCTCTTTCGTTCCCTTTTATATCCTTTTCTCCTTCCTACAAAAGCTTGTAATTTGTCACCTGTTCATTTTTTTCATGCCATGCCACTCATCATACATAGGATAACTGCCTTCTCCTCCTCTCCACATGCTATACTTTTCCTCCATTTGTTTTACTTTTGTTTAGCAAAATTTAAATCACTGTTTCCTCTACTCTTCAATTTCTACATGAACAGCACTTTGTTTCAAGAAGCGTTTTCATTTCTTCAGAATGTTCTCTTCCAAAGGTTCATCCCATTTGGCCCATCTGACCATTTCAGAAACTTCACCCCATCGGGAAAGATTTTTAAGATTGGCTTAATTCAAACTCTACATGTTCATGAAACAGACCCTACTTAACAGGCAAGGGACCTGCCTTGAGAGCTCTGGGATGAAGAAAAATTAGGTTCTGCAATCAAGATTGCAGATAATTTGCCAAAAGAAAACACTTGGTATACTAAAGCAAGCACTGACTGGGCCAAAAGAAACTAAATTTTGGAATCTGAACGCATCATGCACATCAAGTAAACCAATATACAATATATTACCGTATAACATTTCACACTATTGCTGCTTGTGTTGACTATGAGAAGGGGTGACATGTTTTGCTTGCTTCTATGATTTCACCAAGTGCTATCCGCACGTTCTAAAATTTGCTTATGCTGTTTTGAGGCATGAAATATTTTGAAAGCTGAGAGGGGTGATTGTGAATGTTGCTTTTGTGCAATGCATTCAAGGGATGTCAGAACTGACACAGAAGCCTATTTTTACCTTTACCAGGGCTTCAACCAGTTGATTCTTGGAAAACGGGATGTATTTTCCTGATAATCCACTGCCCAGTTCTGTGGTTCTGTTGGCTTCCACATCTTCCGATATTTCACCATCATGGCAGCAAGGGAGGCCTTGCCATGCAAAGACAATCCTATAATCTTGGTCCCCAGGGCTAACCGGGTTATGCTCAGCATTCTGGGAGAGTCCAAAGCTTAACAGTTAAAAAATGGCAGCACAGTCATATCTATCTTCCTTGGCTAAGTTTCCTCAAACTGACATTGTTTTGCAACCACATTGCTTGAAGAACTGCAGCAGGCACCTTTTGAAGCAGCAAATGTAGAAAGCTTTGAGAAATCAAGTAGAGCAAATCGATCTTTTTGATAAGCTGCAGGTAAAGAGTGTTCAGTTAACATGGAGGTACCATGCACAAATGACAAGGTACTTTCCCCACTACCACCACCCGCAATCGCATGTGAAAGCAAGCTCACAACCAGGACAGAACAACAGGGGTTAAAAAGTCATGGGTAAAATCATCAGGCTATCCCAGTGGTGGCGAACCTATGGCACGGGTGCCACAGGCGGCACTCAGAGCCCTCTCTGTGGGCACGCACGCCGTTGTCCCAGTCCTAGGCCTTCAGTTGGGTTTTATAAAACCTTTTCGCTTTAGGCCTCTGCTGCCATGTGCAAAAAAAAAAGGTTCAATCAATCAGTCAATTTCAACTTCTTGTGGGGGGAGGGGGAGGGAAAGATCTTGCAAAGTTGGAATTGATTGAACTTTTTAGTCCCACCCAGTCTGCCGTTACCACCGCAGCCACACCCACCCAATTGGTCACACCCAGCCAATGGGCCACACCCAGCCAATGGGCCACACCCACCCGGCACCCGACGATGCATAAGTGGGTTTTGGGTTGCAGTTTGGCCACTCAGTCTCTAAAAGGTTCGCCATCACTGGGCTATCCGAACTGTTGAAATTAAAGGCCCCGACCAACTTACAACCCAAGCAGGTTATTTTTTTTCTCCCTCTTCACACAAACAAAACCCCCCTTTCAACTACAGATCCAATTCAGACCCCCCCCAAAAAAGTCCACTATTGAAGCAACGAGCTCTGACCTTTAAATAGAAGCCTGACATTGAATTTGGTGGCACATGCGCACAATGTTTCTTTTTCTCTTCTGCCCTCAATTCTAATTTTTTAGCTATTCCCGGGGAACTTCACGTTGCGTCATGCGCTTGCGCAGTGGCTTCGGTCGATTTTGTCACGAGCTAAACTGGGCCCATAAATCAGAGATAAAAAATTTAAAACAGCTACCCGCAAAGGGTAAAACTTATTTGCCCATCAACTCTGTTCTGATTCAGCCTCTGCAAAATACCGTTTAGGGTCAAAATGGAGCCATTCTGTATCATTCGTTTTTTACTCAATGAGAACTACTGAAAACATTTCGATTTAAGAGAAGCTGAATTTGTTGCTCTATACCATTTTCCTTTCCTGTCTCTATGGCCAAACCACGGGGTGCTTGCAACAATCAAAAGAATTCCATAGTATCGGAAATTCTTTCCAATCCGTTTATGCGCATGCGCGTTGTGAGATGTAAAAACCCCAAATTTTGATACTCACAATACGAAGACAAGTCTGGTTAACAAAACAAAGGTTTATTGGAGAATAACATAAAAAGAATAAAAAGAAAAGAGAAGAGAAGAGAAGAGAAGCGTTTGCAAACGGGCCTCCTGGATCCTTCCCTATGGATTGATTTCCAGGAGCACACTGGCCTGGTTTCAAGTTTTGCATTTTATACCCCTGCAATGCATGCCACATCTAAGGAGCTCTTTCATCTTTATAATGTACTTTGAAGTTGTACTTTGTTAACCTGACCTCTTCCGTCCATCTGCTGTTATCTTGTTTATTTGTAATTTTCACCTAGGGTCAAAATCCCCCTCTTTGATAGTAGGATTTCTACTCAAAGTGTAAGTTCCTGTGTCGGCAGGAAATAGTAAACATTTGGTCATAATTAATTATCCTTGCTGATTACCATTTGTAGTCACTTTTACATGGGCAGGAAACAGTAAACATTCCTGTTTCATATTGGCATTGCAGTGTTACATTTGTGTTACAGTGTTACATTTGTACTAGAGAGACAGTTTCATATAATGGCATTACATTTCTACAATTATTTCTCCAATTATTTCTACAATTATTAAAAGAATAACTTTTACTTCCTTCAATCCCCCTTTTCTCTTCCACCTGAATTTATTCTTTTATACTTTTAATAGTTCATAACTCCCTATATTTTCTTTAGATTCCTGTGCAAGCAAGTTTTCATATTCTGAGTCTTCATTCCCCAATGTTCCTTAAAGTATTGGGCCCATGGTCCTTCCTTCTACCAAAGAAGGTACGAAGGAAACAAAAGTAGCAGAAGAAAAATTTTGCAACACATAGTCCAGGTTCTAGGAACACAATTTCCAGGGTAGTCCAATCCATTGAATTTTTTTTCTCCTACTTAGATGGAAACAGTTCAACGGAAAACGGAACATTTGCCCACTATAGAAGATTGGGCATTTAAAGTTTCAAATTTAGCAGAAATGGCTAAGATTTCTGCCTACGTGAAGGATTATTCACAAGAAAGATATATTTTGGTTTGGAGAAGATGGATAGATTATATTGAGAACAAATATGGAACTAAAAAGTTTCATTTGGTTTTTGAGTAAATTTTAGATTGTTAATGTAGATTATTTCTTTTTAAATAGTAATAAGATGTATAATTATAGTGTTTAATACGTTTGTTTAGAAGAGAGTTAAAGGATGTTATAGAATTGTTAATTTAATAGTGATATAATGTAAGACAGAGTATACTTATTGTATTGTTA